TGCAACTTCACTTTGATTTCTTTCTTCCCTTCTTCGATTCTCTCTTCTAATCTGTCTTTCTTCTCCAACTTTAACATTTTTTCTTCACCTCTTATCTATTTAGCTTTTAACAATTCTCTTCAAATTGTCATAATTACTTCTTCATGTCTTTATCTTTCTCTCTCTTTTTTTTTTTTTGTTTTCTTTTTCTTGTTTAGCAATATTCTTATTTCTTTTCTTTGGTATTTTATTTTCAAATTTTACTCATATTCTTCATATATTTTTCTTCAAAATTAATACTACCATCTCTCTTAATTTCAAGTTTTTAATTATTTTATTATGTTAAGTTCTCTTTATTTTATATAATCTTATGTTTTTTGTATTTTAATTGTGTATTAATTATTTAAATTTTGATCATTTTCAGGGTTCCTTAAGTTGGTGAATATGATGGGGGAGCATTTTAGTGGTGATTTTATTACATTTTATTACATTATTCAATATTTGTCCTCAAATATTTACTTTTTTATATATTTAGTTAATTTATTTGCCTATTTTCATTTAATTATATGTTTTAACTTATTTGTATTTATATATATGAATTTGACTTATTTATGTATTTATATTGGATTCTTGTTGCAAATGATAAGTATTTTTGGGGTTTTTTTTTTCATTTTTTTACATTTCTATAAATATAATCATAATTGTAATTTAAAATTATAAAAGGTTAATAAATTAAATAAAAATAGGAATTGTATATAATTGATGATTTTAAAATTTAATTTTTTAATACCAAATTTTATTAAAATAGTTGTCATCTAAATTAAAATTACTTTTTTTTTTTTTGTTAATCTGCATTCTTATTTTAATCAAGCTACTTAACTAAATAGATCCAATTTAAATTACCAAGGATACCCATATCCACTAATTCGGTCATTGCTCTTCACTGAAATAACATACCTGGAAACTACTGATTCTTGAATATTTCGATCATTATAGTTGATCGAAGTATCTAATTAAGAAAATATTTATGTATTTTGGTTTGATCAAATATTGATGTTTTTTTAATGATTTTTTCGATCTTTTTTCGATCATGCACCTGTGAGAATGATGTCAGCCAAGGTGAAATTCCCTTTGAAATTAAATTTTGTAGAGAGGATATTCGGTCCAACAATTCGGTTAAGGGTCTTGACCAAAGTACTTCATTTTCAGCCATTATCTTGTCTTGTTCCACATTAATCGAATTGGTGCCTTTTTTTAGTAGTGCAAGTTGATTATTTCTGAATGATTTGACATATGTGGGTTCCATTTTCTCTAACTTGGATTATTTTTAATCCTAGTTGAACATTTGTTGATAACAATTGGTAATAAAAATGCATTCTTTTAATTTTTTTTTTTATTAATAACAAAATTACTTTATATTCTTTGTTTTTAAATTGGAAATTTGAGACCTAAGTTTCAGGTTTAATTATACCTTTCTAATAGTGTCTTCTTTTTCTCATTCATAGTCATTTTAACTAAACATCAAGTTTGAGTGATGCCAAGTACTTGAATTACTCACTTCAGAACTAGCACGACCTCGTCAAACCTCCCCAAACTGCAATAAAACACAGCAAGCATGTGCAAGTTTATGATAAGATTCAAGTTGGGTTAAGCTTCGACTTGGCACCTCTCAAAGGATTTGGTGACCTGAATTGCATAGTCGAAAGTCTTAGTGGGACCCTTATTGGATGTAATGGAATCTTAGGATTTTTGGGGACGAGATTTAGGGCTTGTGGAGACAATAGCATGGATGATCAAACCAAACCCTAGGTCTTAGAAAGTGATTGTAAATGAGAATAAAAGGGTATTTTTATCATTAAACAAAAAGATTAAAAATGCAATTTTATTGTTATATCATCGACATATGTCCAATTGCGATTAAAAATAACCTATGTCACAAAAAATGGAACTCACACATGCCAAACTATCAAGACATAATAGGCTTGAAATGGATCTCATGAAAATGTGATATAACATGATATCATCTATTAAATTTGAGTTAATTTATTTCAATCAAAAACTACATGAGTTGATTTATTTCAATATGAAACTACATGGATAATTTTCCAAAAAAAAAAAGTAAAGGGGTCGATTTCAAATAGTTTGAAAAGTTCATGAATTGATTTATTTTATGATATAATCTTGTAATTGCACCAAATCAGAGATCCTTCTTCAATCTGCGTCTTCACTTCGGATAAACCTACAAAGCCCCGAGGTGGGTCCTCGGGGTAGAGACTTCGAAGCTTAAGTCAACAATAATCGGGTCTATCTCTAGATTAATGAAAAAGGAACTTTAGGATGGTTTCAATTACCTTTTTGACGTGGCCTCTGGGGGGTATTTATAGGCCTTCATGAGGTATCCATATGGCTTGCTTAGCAGGATAATTGGAGTATGACGTGTCACTTAAGGAGATAAATTTAGGACCAACGGCAAATTCGAGACCGGGGAATTATGTGATAAATCAGGTGTGGGTATGCCCACTGTATTTATCGTGCAGCCATTTGACAGAAAGTGCTGGATTTAACTTCACTTCGACTATTAAGGAATTGTTACAGTACATTCAAGGTTAAAGACCTCGGACCTATCCTTACACTATTCCCCCCTGAAGTCATTCACTTGTGAATGATGTTGTTAAAGATAATGGGAGTAGTGCATGAATAAAGAGGAAGGGGGACAAAGATACTAAAGATGAATTACAATAGTAAAAATAAAAATAAAAATAAAAAAATAAATAAAAATCTGTAACTCAAATGTATGCATGGCCGTAGCTAATAGTGAAGTATGTAACATGGGGTCATGTTGGCCATGCCCCAAATAAAATGTGACCGGAGTGATTGTGGCCGTAGCTGTGGTAAAAATAATGACCGGAGTCAATGTGGCTTGAGCCATAGTAAGAAATGATGACCAAAGTCATAGTGGCCGAAACTGTAGTGAAAATTGATGACTAGAGTCATAGTGGCCAGAGCCGTAATAAAAAGCAATGACCAGAGTCATAATGGGCAGGGCCGAAGTAAAAAGTAATGATCGGAGTCATAATGGGTAGGGCCGAAGTAAAAAGGAATTGACTGGAGTCATAATGGCCGGGGCCAAAGTAAAAAGTAATGACCGGAGTCATAATGGCCGGGGCTGAAGTAAAATATGTGACAAGGAGTTACAGTGGCCAAAGCTGAAGTGAAACACTTGTAAGTTAAAAATATAATTGTGAAAGTGAACAGAAGTGTTGAGATGGGCTTAAGTGGGCCCGTTCATAAAGTCTGACGTAGGGTTATTATGTGACATGACAATTGTTTGTTGAAAGACGTGTACAATTAATACGGGTTGAAAAAAGTAACTGTGGCAGTCAGACAAATGGAGTGGGAAACGAACCGTCGAATTCAAACGGCTCCCGTTAGGGTTACACAGTTGAATTCGAAATGGTGTGAATAAGGAATCCCATAAGATTAAAGGAATCCTAGCTGTTTAGAGTTATTTTTGCCCTGAGGTATAAATAGCCATTTTTCTGTAGAAAGAAGTTTACTTTCATTATATTTTCTGCAAAATTTTTGTGAAAACTCTACTGTGTCTTTCCTGCGCCCGAACTGCTGCATCGTTTGTGGATTTCTACATCAAGTTTTCAAAACCGAAATAAGGTAATATATATGATTCTCTTATTTTGATTTTAACGAAGTGTCACTCTCCTTTCTCCCTTTCTGTTTTTGATTTTGAGTCCTCTGAAGAAAGTTAGGGTTGGGAGTGAGAATGATATTGAGTGTGCATTAGAGTTTTCTTTTTCCCTCTTTTTTGTTTTTTTTTTTTTTAAAGGTCCTGACTTCATTCCTCCTCCTACTTCATGCAGAAATTGAGGAGATGTCTTTGGAAGAAATAGTGAGTGTTGTAGGAAGTGAGGTGATACCTTTGGAGTACGGTGGTATGGACTTAAAGAGTAGTCCATCTAGTTTGGAAAGGACAGTTGAGGGAGTGGGAGGAGGTGAGGTAGTTGGGGTAGGGGGGGATATTGTACCCATTACTGTGGTAGAAGTAGAGGGTAGGAGAGAGAGGTGCTACGATGTAGATGCAGATATCGTAGGTAAGGTAAAACAATATGAGTCTGAACTTGAGACCAAGGATAGCCTGGGGTATTTGGTGGAGAGTTATGAGATCTCATACCGAGTGTTGATTAGGCCAGCTGGGGTAGAAGAGAGGGCGTGTTCTGCTCCTCGGGATCATTGGATGCCTGTGTATGCCCACTATTTGGCAGCTGGGCTTAGGTTTCCAATTCTTGAGTTGCTAGTGGGTTTGTTGTTAGATTATAATATAGGGTTGACACAGTTAGTCCCCAACGCTATGAGGGTAATAATAAGATTTTTAGTTTATTGTCGAGCTTAGGGGATTAATGTGCCAATTGTAAATATGTTTAAATATTTTTTTATTTTAAAGGGGGGTAGTAGAAAAGATAAGGGGTAGTAGAAAAGATAAGGGGTGGTATTATTTCACCCCTAGGGTAGCAAATAAGGAGAGTAAGGGCTTTGTTTACCACATGTCCTTCATCCATTAAAGGATGGAAGGAAAAACTTTTTTTTGTAGATGATACAGAGTGGGAGAGGGGGGATGCCAAGGTAGAAATGTTGTCTTCCTGGAAGGCTAAGAGAGCCAACCAGAATAAGTTTAGTTTAAATGAGGATGAGGAGAAGGAGGTGGGGAATTTGGTGAGGGAGGGGGGGGAATTTAGTGAACATTATGTACCTCACCAGCGCAGAATGCATAGAAGCTGCTGAGCTCTATGGGCCAAGCGTTTTAAGTGAAGGTTTGTTTAGAGTTTATACTGTAGTATTTAATGTAGAGTATAGGGCTATGTGATTGATATTGTGTTCTCTTATTTTGCAGCTGAAATGGACAAATTTTTGAGTGCTGTTGGAGGAGTGGCCATCCCCAAAAAGCCAAGGAAGAAGTCAAAGACTTCAACCAACGTAGTGGATGAGGGAGGAGTTGGGAGGGAGGTAGTGCCCAGCACTTCAGCCGAGGTGGAGGAGGAGGTGCCAAGGCTGGAATTAAAGAGGAAGGGTAGGGAGGAGGGAGTGGCACTACAGAAGAAGAGGAGGGTGGTGGAGGAAGAAGAGAGGGGGAGCGAGGTTCCCTAGTTCGTGCCTCAGCCTCCTCCTGTTGAGCTCGACCCTAAGCTCAGGGAGTGTGAAGAGGGGGCTGAGGTAGGAGCTCATGGCAAGGGGAAAGGCCTCATTCCCTCTTTGTCTTTTCAGAGCAGTTTGTTCGAGGAGAAGAACATGACGGGAGCTAGGAGGTTTATCAATGCCACCTTCCCCGAAGTGGACAAGCGTCACGCACGGGACGAGGCTCTGAGATACTATGGGGCTTCAGTAGTGAAGCACGTTTTGGAGATTTGTTAAGTTAATTTAAGTTAATTTATTTGTAGTTGTTGGTGTGTTTGCCTCTCTTTTTTTTTTTTTTTTTGACTTCTGCTTTGAATTGCAAAGCGCGAGCTAAGTGAACGGTCTAGCCTAGGAGTTTATGGAAAGTGTGAAGGAGCGCTGCCTCTTGCAAAGGCAGTGTGACCAGCTTCAAAAGGAGAAGGAAGAGCTGGAGAAGAAAAATAAAGAAATGCAAGAGGCTCTAGACGAGGTGGTTCCAACAATGAAGCGGTTAGAGTAGGAGAGGGCTTCCCTGAGCACCAAGCTCGTCTTTGAAAAGAGCAAATGAAAAATCTTTGAAAGCAAGCGTGAGGCTCAAGAGAAGGAAATAAGGTTGATGAAGGAAGCTTATATGGAGCTGAAGAAGAATGTGCAACTGTTGGTGCACAATGGGATAGAGGAGCACATTAGCAACTTCGTCAGCTCCAGCTCGTTTGACAGCATTGTCAACCTCTACCGGCTGCCAACTGCCATCCTTGCCTTCACAGATTGTAGAAAAAAGGTGAAGGCTGAATATCCTGAAATGGATATTACAAAGATCACTTTCGACGAGCAAAAAGAAGGAGTGGAAAAGAATGGTGAGAGTATGTCAGCAGACTTTCGTCCTCAGATTAAACTGAGGTGGGAGCATGATGCAGACAGACGCACTGTCTTCCCTCCAAGATTCGACTTCGAGTTTGTTGTAGTGGAAGAAGAAAAGGCAAAGGTAAAGGAAGATGAAGTGGGGGCAGGAGTGGAAGGAGCTGAAGTGGATGAGAGTCAACCACCTCTACCAGTGGAGATTCATCTAGTTCCTTCTGACGATGAGCAGCCACCTCTGCCAGACGAGCAACAGCCAACACAGCCACCTCTTCCAGCTTAGCAGCAGCCAGTTCAGCCACCTCCTCCAGCAGAGGAATAAAGAATTTTTGTTTTTTGATTTTTCTTTGATATTTTGTTGTATTATCATTTGAACAATTTGTTATAAACTTGTTATTTGATTTGAATAACAATTTTGTTTTTGAGATCATGTTGTGATGTTTGTTTTACATTTTGGTTGTTATATATAAGAACTGAGATTACTTTGAATATGTCTTGAGGGAAAGTAAATCATGTCAAAGATGAAATAAAAAAAAGTAAATCACTTCAGGAATGAATTAAAGAGAAGTAAACTACTTCAGATAAACTAAAAAGAAGTAAAGCACTTTAGATAAAAAAGAAGTAAAGCACTTCGGATGCGAAGTGACTTTCATTAATAAAAGTGAAGTTCAATGAATGAGTGTTAGATAGATTGATCTCGGATACACAGAATAAGAGGTAAAATGAATCTCAACAATCACGAAGTAATAAGTATAAAGGGCAGTAAGACATAGAGCACTTGGAAGAAGTTTATTAGGGGTAAAATTTCTTCAAGTTATTGATATTCCAGACTCTAGGAACTCTCTTCCCTTCAATGTCTTGGAGGACATAGGCACCGGGATGTGGCACTTCGACCACTGTATAAAGGCCTTTCCAGTTTGGGGCCAATTTGCCAAAATGAGTTTCAAACTCTGTTAGGCCAACCTTTTTGAAAACAAGGTCTCCTACTTTGAATGTTCAAGGGTGGACTCATTTGTTGTAGAAGTTGGCTAATTTCTACTTGTATACGAGAGTTCGAAGCCGTGCTTCTTCTCTGACTTCGGCAAGCAGATCAAGGTTTTCCCGAAGCAGTTGTCCATTTCGTCCTTCATCGAAATGGGTGACACAAAGGCTTGGGACTCTTATTTCAATAGGAATGACTACTTTGGTACCAAAGGCCAATTGGTAAGGTGTTTCATCTATTTCATGAAATTATAGTTTTTAGAATATGCTTTACATATTATGCATATTTGATCTAGGGTAGAGTCACAGGTGAGGAAGTAAGATAGAATGAAAATAGAATGAAAGGAACTTGGGTTGGAAATAGTATCTGTGGCAATTCAGCTCGTTGTTCTGTATGCCTAGAGGACGTTGTTGAGCTCGTTTGCCCACCTGGTCTTGTGTTGTTCCAATCTCAGCTTTATTCCTTCTAAAATGGCTTTATTAACAGATTCTACAATACCATTGGACTCCGGATGGTAAACCGAGGTGAATTGTAATTTGATCCCGTAGCTCGAACAAAAATCTCGAAATGAGGAGCAGTTGAACTGAGTTCCATTATCAGCCACAATCTGATTCGAGATTCCATATCTGCAGATGATTGAGCTAAAAACAAAGTCTTCGACCTTCTTGGAGGTAAGACTGAATAATGGCCGAGCTTCAACCCATTTCGTAAAATAATCCACACCAACAACCAGATGGGTTACACCTCCTACCCCTTTCATAAAAGGACCTAAAAGATCAAGTCATCACTGAGCAAATGACCAAGGTGCTACTAGATTAGTGAGCTCTTTTGCTGGCTGGTGAGTTAGATGTGCGAAGAACGGACATTTCTGACACCTTTGTACGAACTGAGTGGCATCTTTATACATGTTGGGCCAATAATATCCTTGTCTAAGGACTTTATGAGCCAAAGTTCGAGCACCAATGTGACTTCCGCAGGCACCTTCATGCACCTCCCGAAGTGCGTACTCAGTTTCATAGGGATTCAAGCACTGTAGAAGAGGGAGTGAGAAAGATCTCTTATAGAGGACCCCATCAATGAGTGTATACCGAGATGCTTTCTTCCTCAACCTCATTTCCTCTTGCTTATCTTCAGGTACTATCCCATCTCGTAAAAAAGAGGTAATTGAGTCAGTCTAGCTCGGTGTGTCTGGGTTTGTGCTTATCTCCATCATTTGTGGCTTCATGAAGCTTGGTTCATCTAAGATTTCCACAAAAACTGATCTGGAGCTTAAAGAGCTATCAGAGGCAAACTTAGAGAGTGAATCTACCTGTTCATTCTCAGTTCGAGAAATTTTATTCAAACAGAATTTTTGGAATTTGAGCTTCACCGTCACAGGATCAACAACTTCGCAGATTGAGTTGACTTGGTTAACCACAAGCTGGGAGTCACTGTACACTTGGATTGCCCTGACTTTCAACTTCAATGCCAGTTGTAGACCAAGTAGCAGAGCTTCATACTCAACCATATTGTTTGTTGCATCGAAGTTAAATTTTAGAGCATGTTCACTTCAGTATCCATCTGGGCCAATTAAGAGAGCATCAGCTTCTGAACCCTTGCTACTAGATGCTCCATCAACATATAAGGTCCAATAGTTAGGCTCGGGATTAGGGGTTGAGTGACATGGAGTGCATTCTACGCTGAAATCTGCTAGTGCTTGAGCTCGGATCGTAGATCTTTGCTGAAATGTTATTTCGAATTCCCTCAGTTCTATTGCTCATTTAATTAATCTTTCGGAGCACTCCGGCTTCTGCAGAATTTGTCGACGAGGTTGGTCTATGAGGACAATGATTGGATGTGACTGGAAATATGGCCTCAGCTTCATGGCCGAAGTGACAACTGTTAATGCTGCTTTCTCAACAATAGGATACCTCAATTCTGCGCCATGTAGCATGCTGCTGATGTAATAAATTGGCTTCTGTTGTTTGGCTTCTCTTACCAGAATTGAACTAATGGTTTCATTTGAAATTCTCATATATAAATAGAGAATCTCTCCATCTATAATCTTAGTCAGTAGAGGTGGTGAGCTAAGATAAGACTTCAGCTCTTCGAATACAGCTTGGCATTCCTGGTTCCATTCAAACTTCTTCTGTTTGCCTGATTCATCCTTTTGGGCGGCTGACCTCATGATCTTGAAAAATTGCAGGCACTTATCTGCTGACTTCGATATGAACCTATGAAGAGCTACCACTCTTCCAGTTAACCTCTGTATATCTTTCACTGATTTCGGTGGTTCCATCTCGGTAATTGCTTTGATCTTTTCTAGATTGACCTCAATCCCTCTTTGAGAAACCATGAAGCCTAGAAATTTCCCAGACTCCACACCGAAGATGCATTTGGCTAGGTTTAACCGCATTCTGTTCTTTATGAGATTATTGAAAGTTTCATCGAGATCAGCTAAATGATCTTCTGCTTTAGGCTCTTTATGACAATATCATTGACATAAACTTCCAAATTCCTGCCAATCTGAGCTTGGAAGATGATGGTCACCATTTTTTGATAAGTAGCACCTGCGTTCTTTAAGCCAAATGGCATCATGACATAGCAATAGATTTCATCACCAGCATAGAACGAGGTTTTCTCTTCATCTTCCGGAGCCATCGGCACCTGGTGATACCAAGAATATGCATCCAAGAGACTTAATCTCTCATTTCCCGAAACTGCTTCAACCAGTTTGTCAATGCTCGGCATCGAATAGCAATCCTTGGGGCAAGCTTGGTTGAGATTTGCGTAATCAATGCACATTCTCCATTTACCATTTGCCTTTTTAACCAACACTAGGTTAGCCACCCATTTGCACTAGTCAACTCTTCTGACGAAACCAGCTTGTAGAAGCTTCTCTACCTCTTCCTTTATGACTTGCAGCCTTTCCCCCCCGAAGAGACGTTGCTTCTGAGCTACTGGTTTTTTCAATGGATTAATGCTAAGCTGATGTTGAAATACCGAGGTTGGAATTCCTGGCATATCTGTCGAAGTCCAAGCGAAGACGTCATTGTTAGCTCGAAGAAAAGCTATTAGCTCTGCTTTTTCCTCCGGGCTTAATTGAGTTCCAATTTGCATCTTTCGGCTTGGATCTCTGTTGTCAATGTGCACCTCCTCGACATCTTCGACTGGAGTAGCTCTGGTTTCATCTTCAGGTCAGTTGTCTACTATCTCAACTCCCATGACTTGCTGATTGTCAGGAATTTGTTGAGGAATGGCTTCCTGCGTCTATTCTTTGTCTTTGTGAGGTCTTGCAACCGAAGTGATATAGCAATGTCTTACCACCTCCTAGTTGCCCTGTAGTGTTGCTATCCCTATAGGAGTTGTGAACTTCATGCAAAGGTGAGATTGGGAAACCACAGCTCAAATTTCAGTCAGCGTGGATTGGCCAATAACAACATTGAAAAAAGATGCCATCTTGACAACTAGAAACCAAACTAAAGGGGTAACATATGTTTGGCCACTTTCAAAAGCAACATTTAGGGTAAGAACTCCTTTTACTTGAATTGGTTGGTTGTTGAATCCATAGATGGGACCATCGTACCGCTGCAACAAAGCTGGATCCAGCCCAAGACTCTCAAAACAGTGGAAGTACATGATGTCTGGTGCACTCCCTGTGTCAACAAGGACACATTGCACTTCACAATTGTTAATCATGACAGAAGTGACTAGAGAATCATTGTGGGGTGTGACAACTGTGTTGAAATCAGCAGATGTGAAAGTAATGGGTTGATTCTTCCAGTCAGCATCGTCAAACTTCCGTTTTTTAGCTCGGTTTTGATGTTTGACCTCTTTGACATATAACTTTCTCTGTTTGGAGATCAACCCTCCTGCTTCCAATCCTCCCGTAATCATGTGTATAATTCTAGCTGGTGATGGGAGCGGAGGTGGGGCTTGCTGATATCCCACGCCTTGCTTGTTTGGTGGATTACGAACTCCTTGTGGCTGTGACCCCTATTCTCTGACAAATCTTGGTTGTTCAGCTCTCTGAATGTACTCATTCAACATTCCTTTCTGAGCTAGACTTTCTAGTTCGGACCTCATATTGTTGCATTGCTCTATTGTATGACCGTGATCTTGATGAAAATCATAATATCTAGTATGATCTCGGCTAGCAACAACAGTTCTCATTGGGCCCGAATGCCTTAAATCCATCTTATTCTTAAGCTGCATGAAAATTTTTTACCTCGGCAAATTAAAAGGGGTCCAAGTAATTGGAGGTTGACCTACAAATTGTTGTAGATGTGCTGAGTTCGACCTTCCGAATCTTGGTGTGGAGGTCGACATCGGACCTTGGTTCTGTGCTGTCATCCGTTTCCTGCACTGATTCTCATCTCTCCAATCTGGGTTTTAGTTCTTAGAGGGGGTTGGCTTCTGTGACAAGGCATATTCCTTAGCAATTATGAATTTTAGGGATCTATCATTCACCTCGTTAAAGGTTGCAGCAGGATGCTTGATCAAATTGTCTCTGAATCTCTCATGGTTAAGACTTGAGATCACAGTTGCAATTCCCACAGCCTGGCCGATGGAGCTAACTTCCAACAGTGCATCATTGAATCTGCTCATGTAATTCTTCAAAGATTCTCCATCCCTTTGTTTAACTCGCATTAGCTTAGAAGTAGTTTTCCTTATCAACCTTCTACTGGAAAACTTTGTGGCAAAAGCAAATGCCATTTCTGTATAAGAGCTGATTGACCTTGGAGGTAGGCTGTAATACTAGGTTCGAGCATTACCTCAGAGAGTAGAGGGAAAGATTTTGCACATCAACACGTCAGAGGCGTTCTAAGCTTGCATACAAGAGTAGAAAGCATGTGGATGATCATCGGGATCCTTCATCCCATCATAAGTCTCAAGCTGAGGTATTTTAAAGCTAGCAGGATAGGGTTCCAATGTGATGTTGGTGTTCAGAGGAAGGGGTATGGAGTCAGCAGTATGGTGTGAAGGTGGGACACCTCGTTGTTCGGCTACCAATTTTTCTAAGCTGTCCAGACGTCGAGTGAATCATCAAGAAGGGGTTGCTGAGCTAGTGCTATGTGAGACTGGCCTTGAGACTCACTGAGAGTAGGAGCATGCTGAACTAGTTGGGGGTCTTACTATGGAGCTGAGGGTTGTGGAGTAGGGTTGAGTAAATTGATGAGGGGATCACCAGGATTATTCTGAGCTAAAAGCTGAGCCAATATTAACTGAAAGACACCAAACTGTTGTTGCATGGTAGCAAGCTGAGCTGTAACTACATCTTGATTGGCAGTGGAAGTTGAGTTGTGAGCTGAGCTGTGGGGTTAGTTTTCATCTCCTCCTTCTGCATGATCACTAGGAGTGAACATATTGGGATCTGAGGTGGAAGGTGAGGTGGAAGGTTGTTGGGGACTTGACCTTGTCCAAGAAGCTGAGATGGATTTCCAGCTCGGACTAATCGAGTGTTAGCCATGATGAGAGAGCAACAAGAGAGCTTTCAGTTTCGATTCCCACAGACGGCACCAAATGTAATTGCACCAAACTAGAGATCCTTCTTCAATCTACGTCTTCACTTTGGATAAACCTGCAAACCCCCGAGGTGGGTCCTTGGGGTAGACACTTCGATGCTTAAGTCAGCAATAATCGGGTTTATCTCTAGATTAATAAAAAAGGAACTTTAGGATGGTTTCAATTACCTTTTTGACGTGGTCTCTAAGGGGTATTTATAGGCCTTCGTGAGGTATCCACGTGGCTTGCTTAGCAAGATAATCGGAGTATGACGTGTCCCTTAAGGAGATAAATTAGGGACTGGCGGCAAATTCAGGACCGGGAAATTATGTGATAAATCAGGTGTAGGTATACCCACTGTATTTATCGTGCAGCCGTTTGACCAGAAGTGTTGGATTTAACTTCACTTCTGCTATTAAGGAATTGTTATAGTACGTCCAAAATTAAGGACCTCGGACCTATCCTTACAAATCTACTTAAAATAGATTTCACAAAAATATAACGTGGCATGACATAATTTATTAAATTTAAATTGATCTATTTCAATTAAAAAGTATATTAGTTAACTTATTTCAACATTAAAGTATGTGAATTGAATTTTTTTTTATAAAAAAAGTAGATAAATGGATTTCAAATAGCTCAAAAAATACACGAGTTAATATAACCTTTCTACCATAATAAAACTTTACTTGTTTTAAAAAATTTTAGGCCTTAATGCATTCTGAACCTTAATAACAACAAAATTTAATAAGTAATATTGATTGATTTGAGATTTTATATACATAAAGACATTACCTTTAAAAAATTTTCTAATTAAAGGTATCACATTTTTTTAAAATTAATTAAAGTTATCATCTTCCAAAAGTTTCTAATTAAGTATGTCACTTTTTTTATTTACTATTCAAGGATTAATTGGATATCAACACTAAGTTAGTAGATGGATTTCATCTTAAGGACTCACCTAAATTGTTTTTAGGTTAAAAAATAAAAGGTGATTGCTAACTTGTAGCAAGAAAATGTAATAGAAGTATCGACATTTATATATCAAATTTCACACATTTCAAATTTCATATAGTGTTAACAATGACAAAGGTGGTGTTAGCACTAGAACCGTGTAAGGTTTCCCAATCTTTTTAATGAATTCTAGAAGTTAGATACAAATATACTATTCTTATGTTAAAAAATATTAAACACGTGGTGGATAGATTGAAAATAAAAATTATTTTTTTATTACCATGGGATGGTGATACTACACCTAGAGTTAGAATTATTTTGAAAGAAAATGTTAATTAGGCAACTTCTTAAACTGCAAAAGGAAATGGGACTGAACAGTATGGGGTTTCCAAGGTTGATTAGAGATATATTGTATACCTGAGTAAAGGAATTATAGTTGTGAAAAAGTGTCATAGTACTAGTATACGATATTGTCATGCCATGTGTACAAC